GCAGCCTCCCCCGATGCGGTTTCCTTTTCCTCCCAGGGTGATGGAGTTCTTGCCGCCGTTCCAGCGCGTGCTGCAGCCCGAGGAGATGTGGCTTTACCGAAACCCGCACGTGGAGGTGGATCACGTACCCACGGTGCCCATGTTTGTGAGTCCCGCCTGCCCTTCGCTCGAGCCCTCCTTTACCTGGCGCTCCTCACGCCCGTTGCTGCAGCGCGGTGTGTAATCGCTGAATGGTTTGGGTGGGAGGGACCTTAGAGCCCCCCCAGACCCCCCCTGGGGCAGGGCCACCTTCCCTAGCCCAGGGTGCTCCAAGCCTCATCCAGCCGGGCCTTGCGCGCTGGACGGCGTTTACAGTCATCGTGGCCATTCTCTGAGGCTTTACCATCCGGGGTTGTCTCTGGGATTTCAAGTTTATTAAAGATAATGTGGATTTTCCACGGTTGCTCATAACCAGTTTCACATCCAGATCACGAGGCCCGCAGAGGATGGCGTAGCTCTCGCTGTCAGGGAGCCTTTTGCTTGAAAGCAGCTACTTTCAGCAAAGTTTCATCACCATTTTATTGTGAAAATGTTTTCCCTCTGTCTCCAGACTCTGCTAAAAGGGTTTAACGTGAACCTTGGGGTGTTGGATTTCACACAGGCAGTAGTCTGCTGAAGGGGTTGTCCCTTCCTCTGACGCAGGGGTGTTCCGGAGCGATGCTGTGGCTCCGGGGTTGGACCAGCATCCGCTTTCTGAGCAAACAGCTCTGATTTTCTGCACGAACTGAGCGCTAAACGTTAAAGCACAAAGGCTTGGCGTCGCGTTTGCATCTGGCGGTGCGCAGCGTGACCCACGCCAGGCTTCAGGTGGTAGCAGGCTCCTTGGGAGCCTGTCGCACGCTGTGGACATCCCCGGGGTGAGACCCCGAAGCAGCAGAGGCGTGAAGGATCAGTGATTTTCTCTGCATCAGCAGCTCCTGTGTTTTTTGCTGACAAGCAGGGTGGGTGCTGCTGACAGAGAGCTAATCCTTGCGCTTGCAGGGAGGGGGAGAGTTGGGGTGCTGTGGCTGGTGCTGGAAGGGATACCCGCAAGCAGGAGCTGCAGGCGGGAGCGCCGTGGAGCCAGCCCGAGCAGGTGCTGTTGGAGAGCTCGAGGCTCTGCTGGGCTTTTCTCCCAGGAGGGAAAGCGCTGCTGCCCTGCCGAGCGCGTGCGCTGAGTGGGTAAAGCAGGGGAGGAGTGGGAGGCAGAGAGGGGCTTTTCAGTGCACTGCGTTTTTATGCTGCCTGGCTTTTTCTCTCATGCTTCGGTTCAGGCAATGTCCAGCAGCCCGTGGCTTTGGTACCGGCGGCACTGCCGCTGACTGGATGAGGGTGGGAGGAACAGCCGTGCTCTGGGGCTCAGGGTTAGTCAGGCTCTGCTGTGAATCCAGCTGGTTTTCCTCTCTGATGGGAGTCGTGTTTGGAGAGGAGAGGTTGCTGCCTGGCTTGGGGGAGGGGGGGTGCGCAGTCTCTGTGGGCAACTTCTGCTCAGAGTGCTCCCGTCTGCTTCGCTAACGGCCACCTAACAGTCTTCTCGTTTTGCGGCAGTTCATCGCGTTTCTGTCTCCCTTATTGCTCATTGTCCTGGCAAGGGTGTTCCTGAACGCCGACCGAGAGGACACGCGGGAAGCCTGCCTTGGTGAGCTCCTTCTTATCCCAGAGCGCTGCAGCCCCCCGCGGGGTCTGCCCCGAGGCCGTGGCTGTGAGCCGGGGGTCTCACAGACGAGCCCTTTGCTCTTGCTGGGGCACAAGTGTTGTGCCAGGGGGTGTCAGAGCCGAGCCGAGTGGCTCCAGCTGAAGCTTGAGCTTGAAGCGGCGTGTGGGGACGATGCTGAGGTGACCTCTCTGCTCTCTCCTAGCTGCCAGCCTTGCTCTCGCCCTGAACGGGGTTTTTACAAATGCCCTGAAGCTCATCGTGGGGAGGTAAGAAACCGGCTCGTGACACCGTGCGGGAGGGGAGGCACGTCTGTGTGCTGCTAGAGCTACAGGAGCAGGAGCGAGGGCCAGAAGCTGAAGTTGGACGCACTCAGCCTGGAAAGAATGTGCTTTTTCTAGCTCTAAAGACAATTAAATATTAGAACAAAGGCAGGGGGGGACCTGCTGTCAGCGGGCATCGATTAGATGGGCTCATTCAGGCCTGCGCCAGGGAGGAGCGCTTTGGCACACGTACAGGGGGCGGGTGGGATGGTTTCATCTCCCCCCAGGGCGGCAAACGGTTCCCTGAGCTGCAGCCTGAGGTTTGGTGTGGCTGAGCGAGCGGGGCGCGCTGAGCGAGTCACTTCTCGCAAGGCGTTTGCTCGCTGGGTTGGACGGGGAGGATGAGCACAGAGCCCCCGAGGATTAGCAAAACGGGTGCTGGCGACCGCATTCAGACGTGGGTGCTCCGTTGGAGTGCTGGGTGCTCAGGTGTTTCCTGTGTTCTCTGCCCTAGGCCACGGCCGGACTTCTTCTATCGATGCTTCCCCGACGGACGAGCGAACGCGGAGCTGGTGTGCACGGGTGACCCTGGCGTAGTCACCGAGGGCCGCAAAAGCTTCCCCAGCGGACACGCCTCGTGTAAGTTTTCCCTGTCCCCAACCCGCTGCAGCCCCAGGCAGTGAACCACGGTGAGCAGAAGCCCGTGGGGAGGGCAGCGTGGGTTTGCTTTCGTGCACCCCACAGCTTTGACTACGTTCACTGGCCTGTTTGGGGGCCTCAGCTTTCCCGCTGCAAGCAGTGGGGTGACAAGTGTGATCTGGAGTTGCCGGTAACTCCTGGGAGGAGGGATGCTTGCCAAGTACCGGCGTTACGGTGCCTCCGTCGCTCATGAGCTGTGCTTCCCTCGCCTCGCGTGGGCAGGACAGACCTCCTCCTGCAGCCCTTCTGCCGCAGCAGCCAGAGGGTGAGGGCCCACAGCAGAGCCTGGAGCCGTTCCTAAAGCGACACGCTTCTCTTCCAGTCGCCTTCGCCGGCCTCGCCTTCTCTGCCTTCTACATAGCCGGGAAGCTGCACTGCTTCGCTCCCGGCCGCGGAGGCAGGGCTCTGCGCCTCTGCGCCTTCCTCCTCCCGCTGTTCCTCGCCACCCTCATCGCCGTGTCCCGCACCTGTGACTACAAACACCACTGGCAAGGTGGGTCAGCGTCTGCCTGCGGGCCCGGACGGGGCACTCTGGGTGTGGGGGGGTCCGTGATGCGCAGAGGCGTGCACAGCCCACTTGGCTTTATTGATAGCTCCTCCTGTGATTGTTTTCTGCTGCCTGCAAGGCGATGAAGCCTTTCTCTTTGTTTTTGGAGTACGTGCCAAGCTCGGTGCTCTAGCCAAGGGTCAAGGCGCCGCTCCAGCTTGGCTCTGAGCAAGCTGGAAAACTGCCTGCTGGAGAATTCAGTCGTGAAGCTTGGGAGGGTAAAGGGAAGTTAACTCTCCTCTGTTCTTGCCCACAGATGTGTTGGTTGGCTCAGCCATCGGCTTCGTGCTCGCCTACCTCTGCTACAGGCAGTATTACCCTCCTCTGATGGACTCCATGTGCCACAAACCGTTTCTGTACAAACCCAAACTGCCAGCGCCCCCAGGAAAGCCTGCAGCTTCCGGCTTTCACCTGGATATATAGCGCCGGGCTCTGTCCCGCTCACCTTTCCTGCTTGCCCTTGAATGCTGGGGCAGGGGAAGGCTTTGGGGAGGTTGGTATGGGAAGTGGATCAAAGGAGGATGAACCTGAAGCCCAGGCAGGCGCTCCCTGCAGCGCTGGTCAGTTGTCCCGCTCAGGGGCCTGTGCT